TGTTGGCTTTGTACATTTGTGCTGGTACTGGGGCTTGCATGTAGGGCCTAGTTGCTGTTTCTTAGCTTTTTCACTTAAGGCTGGGACTTTATCATTTAAGCCACATCTCTACTTTCTACCTTTTAGGTGGTTAATTGGAAATAGAATCTATTGGGTTTGTCTGCCTGAACTGGCTTTGAACCTACATCCTCAGATCTCTGCCTCCTTCCTGAGTAGCTAGGATTACAAGCATGAGCCACTGGTACCTAGCCTCAAATAGGTGTGTGTGTGTGTGTGTGTGTGTGTGTGTGTGTGTGTGTGTGTGTGTGTGTGTGTGTGTGTGTGAGTATGCGTAGGGGCTTAATAAACAATATTCAACTTTATTCAGTTTAGGTACATTCTGGGTTTCATTTATTTTTTTTTTGTTTTTCTTTTTGGTCCGGTTGTGGGGCCTGAACTCTGGGCCTGGGCGCTGTCCCTCAGCTCTTCAGCTCAAGGCTAGCGCTCTACCACTTGAGCTACAGCACCACTTCCCGCTTTTTTTTCTGCTTATGTGGTGCTGAGGAATCGAACCCAGGGCCTCATGCATGCAAGGCAAGCGCTCTACCACTGAGCCAACTTCCCAGCCCTTGATTTATTTATTTTTTATTTTTATTTTTTTGGTGGGTCGTGGGGCTTGAACTCTGGGCTTGGGCGCTGTCCCTCAGCTCTCCAGCTCAAGGCGAGCGCTCTACCACTTGAGCTACAGCGCCACTTCCGGTTTTCTGGTGGTTTATTGGAGATAGGAGTCTCACGGTCTCTCTTGCCCGGGCTGGCTTTGAACTGCGATCCTCAGATCTCAGCCTCCTGAGTAGCTAGGATTACAGGCATGAGCCACCAGCGCCCGGCCCTTGATTTATTTTTTAAGTAGAGTTTTTGTTGTTGTTGTTGTTTTTTTTAATTTCATTTATTTATTTTTGCCAGTACTCGGACTTGAACTTGGGGTCTGGGCACTGTACCTGAGCTTCTTTTGCTCAAGACTAGCACTCTACCACTTGAGCCGCAGCACCAATTCTGGATTTTTGTGTATGTATATGTGTGTGCCAGTACTGGGGCTTGAACACTGTCCCTGAGCTTTTGTGCTCAAGGCTAATGCTCTACCACTTGAGCCACAGCTCCACTTCTGTCCATTTTGTTGGTTAATTATAGATAAGAGTCCCATGGACTTTCCTACCTGGGGTGGCTTCAATCTGTGAACCTCAGATCTCAGCCTCCTGAGTAGCTATGATTACAGGCATGAGCCACCAGCACCTAGCTTGAAATAAATGTTCTGTCTTTTTTTTTTCTTTTTTCTTTCATACTTTTTTTTTTTTGGCGGCGGCGGGGGGGGGGGGGGGTCAGTCGTGAGGCTTGAACTCTGGGCCTGGGCACTGTCCCAGAACTCTTCAGTTCAAGGCTAGCATTCTACCACTGGAGCCACTGTGTCACTTCCAGTTCTCTGGTGGTTTATTGGAGATAAGAGTCTCAGGGACTTACCTGCCCGGGCTGGCTTTGAACCATGATCCTCAGATCTCAGCCTCCTCAGTAGCTAGGATTACAGGCATAAGCCACCTGTAAAGGCTACTTGTAGCCAGGTTCTGGTGACTCACACCTGTAATCCTAGCTACTTGGGAGACTGCAATCCGAGGATTATGGTTCAAAGCCATCCCAGACAGAAAAGTCCATGAGATTCTTATCTTCAATTAGCCAGCAAAAAGTCAGAGTTGAGGAATGAAGCTCAAGTGGAAAAGAACCTGCCTTGTGGAAGTAGAGCTGTGGCTCAAATTGGTAGAGCACTATCTTTGTGGGGGGTTTTGTTTGTTTTCTTTGCTGGTCATGGGGCCTGAACTCTGGGCCTGGGCACTGCCCCTCAGCTCTTCAGCTCAAGGCTAGCACTCTACCACTTGAGCCACAGCACCACTTCTGGCTTTTTCTGCTTATGTGGTACTGAGGAATTGTGAACCCAGGACCTCATGCATGCAAGGCAAGCATGGTAGAGCACTATCTTTGAGCAAAAGAGCTCGTGGACAGTGCCCAGACCTTGAGTTCAAGCCCCACGACTGCCCCCCCCCCTAAAAAGGAACCTGCCTTGAATGTAAAAGCCAAATGAGAGCTCGATGTCCTGAGTCAAAGCACAGTATTCTCTCTCTCTCTCTCTCTCTCTCTCTCTCTCTCTCTCTCTTTCACACACACACACACACACACACACACACACACACGATCTATTTGGTTTTTGTTTTTTGGGGGGGTCTGGTCGTGGGGCCTGAACTCTGGGCCTGGATGCTGTCCCTCAGCTCTTCAGCTCAAGCCTAGGGCTCCACCACTTGAGCCACAGCGCCACTTCCGGCTTTTTTTTTCTTATTGCTTATGTGGTGCTGGGGAATTGAACCCAGGGCCTCATGCATGCAAGGCAAGCGCTCTACCACTGAGCCACCTTCCCAGTCCACACACGATCTATTTGTATTTACTGAATGGACTACACACCTTCTTTGGTAATTTTTTTTGTCTTGAAATGTTTTTCTAAGGTAGCTAGGTGCCTGTGGCTCACACCTCTAATCCTAGTTACTCAGGAGGCTGAGATCTGAGCATCATGGTTCAAAGCTAGCCTGGGCAGGAAAGTCCGTGAGACTCTTATCTCCAATAAGCCACTAGAAAACTGGAAGTGGCACTGTGCCTCAAGCGGTAGAGTGCTTGCCTTGAGCTGAAGAGAGCAGGGACAGTGCCCAGGCCCAGAGTTCAAGCCCCAGGACCAACCAAAAAAAAAAAAAAAAAAGATTTTTTTCTAACGTTCTTTATTTATTAAGGAGTTTACAGGTTACAGAATAGGAAAGTTCTCCTGTTTCTTAAAATAATTTTTTTGGAGTGGGGATCAAATCCAGAGCCTCATGCATACTAAACATAATCCCACACACACTAATCTACACTCACAGTTCCTTAGAATGATTTTGTGTGTGTGTGTGTGTGTGTGTGTGTGTGTGTGTGTGTGTGTTGAAATCGGGGCCTCAAATTGCTTGGCTGGCTCTCTACCACTGAGCCATGCCTCCAGCCTGGCTTTTTGCTGGTTATTTTGGAGATGGAATTTCTTGGACTTTTCAGTCTAAGCTAACTTCAAAACATGATCTTCCAGGTCTCTGTCTCATGAGTAGGTAGGATTAAAGAAAAAACATGTCTGAGTGCCAGTGCTCATACCTGTAATCATAGCTACTCAGAAGGCTAAGATCTGAGGATCATGGTTCAAAGCCAGCCCAGGCAGGAAAGTCTATGAGATTCTTATCTCCAATTAACCATCAAAAGCTGGCAGTGGAGCTATGACTCAAGTAATAGAACACTAACCTTGAGCACAGAGAGAGTGTCCAGGCCTTGAGTTCAAAACCCAGTACCAACAACCCCTCCTTCCCCCCCCCCCCCCGCCACACACACACACACACACACACACACACACACACACACACACACACACACACGGAAACACAGACTATATCTGGTTAGCTTTTATTTGTACTCAGGCCCTTCCATACCTTGGGGATATCAGTGAGTAATTGAAATGTTCTTGGGCTGGATTTTCCTGAGACTCACTGTCTTTGCTTAGTAGAACTATTGTATCTCTCTTTTCCACAGGGCTACGGCATGGCGTACACTGTCCACAAGTGGTCAGAGCTCAGCTGGGCCAGTCACTGGGTCACTTTTGGATGCTGGATCTTCTACCGTCTCATAGGCTGAAGCATATGCCCCTCATAGCCCCCTTAAGATCCCTCTTCAGGGTGCCAGCTTTGATGGGGGATGCAGAAAGGCTCTATCACTACTCCTTGACTCCTCTGTGTCCTCAACCCCCACCACCCCTATACACAGACACACACACACACACACACACACACACACACACAATCTCCATGCCTGTCAATCCCCACCTCACCATCAGGCAGGAAAAGGTGGTCCTTGCTGGGGCTTAGGAATGGGGGATACTTGGGGAAGCAGAGATGGGGAGATCCAGGGCCTCCCTGCCTGCCCTCTTCTTTTTTATATACAGTTTGTTATTGTCAAATAAAAGTAGAAATATAAAATAGGCTCTTTCTTCACTGCTCAGAGGGAAATAGAGTGAACAATGAAGCAAGCACAGCAGTAGGAAAAAGTTTGGAAACTGAAAACTATGAGGAAGGAGCAGACTGTGATTGGTTCACTCTTTTATGATTGTTCCTGATTGGCTGATAAGCCCGAGGATGGCAAGGTCTTGGTGCTATTTGATTTGAATGGGGCTGGATTCTGGGGGGGAAAGACAGATATTCATTGGCTAGAAAACTGAGATCACTATTCCAAATGATTTATCGTACTGGGACCAGAAAGAACGCAAGACAGATGACAGGTTGATATTATTGGTCCTTAGGACTGAGGATTATGGTTGTCTGGATTCTGACTGAATGCTTTGTGGATGCTCACTAGTTTAGTATTATGCCATTCTGGTTAGCTATTTAGAATTGGCAGGGTTGAGGATCTCCATGCCAATTACCTTGTCGGACTGAGGGGTCTGGGTCCTGATTGGTTATGATTTGAAGTCCGTGGCGGTGAAGCTGACCGTGCCTTTAGGACTGAGGGTTTCTGAGGACTGCGGGGACCAGGGACAAGGTTTTGTAGCGTGCACGGTGTGGTCAGCCACTTATTTTCCTTACATTAAGAGTGGGAGTTGGTCTGGGAACTTACTAGTTGCCCAGAGAACAAAGGCACAGGGTAGAAGACTAGGCTGTGAACGTGGAAGACTTACACCTTGATTATTCTACGCGGAACAGAAAATTAGAAGTCAAGAACTGCTGCAGAATGGCTACAAGCTTAAACATCTACCAAATTTGGCGAATCCCCACCCCATCTCGCTCCTGATTTGATTGCAGCCAACTGCGAAAACCGCACAACGCGTGAGGACTAGGCTAGCGACAAACCCAAAGCTCCTATTGGTTGTGTTTCGCTTTCGTTTTTCCCTATTGGCCCACTCCATTAGGTGGGGAGCCCGTGGGGCGGGACTTAAACCAGGGCTGTTTTACCCAGTCAGCCAGTCCAACTGGAGTCGGAAGCCTGAGGGGAAAGAAGCATCTACCACGCTGCTCAGGTGAGTGCTTTGCGCACCCCCTCCAACCCCACTTAGGCCTGCACCACCAGCCGCCCCGAGCCCCGTCCCCCGTCTGGTCCTACACAGGACTCCCAGGACCATAGTCTGGACGACAGAAGGCTCGCCCTTTCACCGGGATGCTGAGGCAGGGTGGGGGTGGGGGGCTAAGATTGGTAGTCTCTGTGCTGGGCTCCCCTTTACCAGGTTAGCGTAGCCTGTGGGGTCGGACCCCACTTCTCCTAGACTTTCTGACAGGTTGCCGGCATTGTATGCTATTGCCTGGAGGCTTTGGCTTCTGGAATACTGGGCCTTAGGACTGACTTCTTAATCTCATTTGTCCTGTGGCAGATTTCTAGGCTCTGGTCCCCACTAGCTTCCTGTGCCATCCTACCCTACCTTGAGCACCCCGTGCTGGCAACAGGCTCTCTTGACAGTGTCTCTCAGTGGTTCTCAGGTGTCCCACGTCAGACCATTACCCTACCCCTCACACTCCCACTCCATCCCCCATCCCCTCCACACCACCCCCTAGGGCTGAGACCAGGTCCAGTTCTTTGTCTTCTCCACTAGACTGTGACCAGTGAGGATTGGGCCTAAGCCTGTATGTCCCTTATCAGATTGTGACCCCTGAGATCTGGACCAAGGCCTGGAACTAGCTGTCTGTTTCTTGGGTTTGGTTTCGTTTTTATAATTTTATCGTCAAGGTGATGTACAGAGGGGTTACAGTCACATATGTAAGGTAGTGAGTACATTTGTTGTCAAAAGTTGTTACCCCCTCCCTTGTTTTACTTCCACTTTCCCTCCCCCTCCCCCTAGCTATCTGTTTTATCGATTTACTTTTGGGTGTGCAAGTGCTGGAGCTTGAACTGAGGGTCAGAGCACTGCCCTTACCTTTTTCAACTCTACTTTTGGTGATTAATTGGAGATAAGAGTCTCATAGACTTTCCTGCCCAGGCTGGTTTTGAACTATGATCCTCAGTTCTTAGCCTCCTGAGTAGCTAGGATTACTGACATGAGCCTCCGGTGCTGGGCCTTTAGTCCAGCTTTTAAAACCACAAGCAGGGCTGGGAAAGTGGCTCAGTGGTAGAGTGCTTGCCTTGCATGCATGAGGCCCTGGGTTCGATTCCTCAGCACCACATAAGCAAAAAGAAAAAAGCCAGAAGTGGCGCTGTGGCTCAAGTGGTAGAGTGCTAGCCTTGAGTTGAAGAGCTGAGGGACAGTGCCCAGGCCCAGAGTTCAGGCCCCACAACCGGACCCAAAAATAAAATAAAATAAAACCACAAGCAATCAGATTTATGTATTTATTTCTCTGTGTGTGTATGTGTGTGTGTGCTCGCACATGTGCACATGCCAGTGATTGAATTCAGGGTCTAGACTCTCTGATCCTTAGCTTTTTCTCTCAAGGATGGTTCACTACTACTTGAGCCATACCTCCACTTTTGGTCTCACTGTCTTTCCTGCCTCTGCTAGTTTTGAACTGTGATCCTCAGATAGCAGCCTCCTGAATAGCTAGGATTACAAGTATGAGCCACCAGTACCCAGCTTCTTTTGTTCATTTTTATCATTAGATTATTTTTCATCCAGTTTTACAGTCTTATCAAAAGGTAAATTCAGTTCCTTTACATTTTTTTGTAGTGATACTGTATGCATTTGATTTAATCATCTCTGTCTTTTCTGTTTACCCAGGTATTTCTGTTCCTCTTTTTTCTTCCCTGATTGTCACTCGAAGTTACTCAGCCAGCCAGCCCATAGAAACATGACTACCAACAAAAGTCCCTTGCATCCCTACTGGCCTCGGAACCTGAAGCTTGACAACTTTGTGCCTAATGACATTCCCACCTGGCACATCCTAGCTGCCCTGTTCTCTGTCTCTGGAGCCCTAGTTTTGACCACATGGCTGTTAGCCAGTCGTACTTCAGTTGTCCCACTGGGAACTTGGCGGAAACTGTCCTTGTGCTGGTTTGCAGTATGTGCATTCATTCACTTGGTGATTGAGGGGTGGTTCAGTTTCTACAACAAGACTCTTCTTACAGACCAAGCCTTCTTATCCCAACTCTGTAAGTCCTAAGTTCTTGTGTTAGATTGGAGGGAAGGAATTTTCTGGGTAGGGTTTGAATGTTTTACCTACCAAGTCTTCCATTAACTTAATTGTTTTTTTATTTTTGCCTGTCCTGGGACTTGAACTCTGATCTTGGGCACTGTCCCTGAGTTAACTTTTCTCACTTTTCTACCACTTGAGCCACACCTTCACTTCTGGGTTATTGGTGGTTAATTGGAGATAAGAATCTCATTGACTTTCCTGCCTAGGCTAGCTTTGAATCATGATCCACAGATTGCACAGCCTTCTGAGTAGCTAGGATTACAGGAGGGATCCACCAGTGCCTGGCTCCTTCTTTTTTTTTTGGTCCAGTCGTGGGGCCTGAACTCTGGGCCTGGGCACTCTTCAGCTCAAGGCTAGCGCTCTACCACTTGAGCCACAGCGCCACTTCCAGCTTTTTTCTTTTTGCTTATGTGGTGCTGAGGAATCGAACCCAGGGCCTCTGGCATGCAAAGCAAGCACTCTACCACTGAGCCACCTTCCCAGCCCATGCCTGGCTCCTTCTTGAGTTTATACATAAATAATACGCATAAACCTCAGTTTGTCAATTGTAAGAAGGTAATAGTTCTCAGGAAGCCGGGCAACGGTGGTTCACGCCTGTAATCCTACTACTCAGGAGGCTGAGATCTGAGGATCGAGGTTCAAAGCCAGCCCGGGCACGAAAGTCCGTGAGACTCTTATCTCCAATAAACCAGAAGTGGCGCTGTGGCTCAAGCGGTAGAGCACTCGCCTTGAGCTGAAGAGCTGAGGGACAGCGCCCAGGCCCAGAGTTCAAGCCCCACGACCGACAAAAAAAAAAATAGTTCTCAGGAGGCTGAGTCAGCCCAGGCAGGAAAGTCTGTGAGACTCTTATCTCCAGTAAACCACTAGAAAACTGGAAATAAAAGAAGGTAATAGTCAGTACTCAAATATATGTCAGAAATATAGAACAGTGGCAAGCTTCCAGTGTGGTGGTATATACTTGTAATCCCAGTACTCAGGATGATTGTGAGCTCAAGGCCAGCTTGGGCTACATAGTTAGACCATGTCTCAAATAATTGAGCAGTGGCAAGCAGTAGATTTTATGTAATGATTTTTTTGTTATTTTTATTATTATTTTTATTTCTTTTTACATAAATAGTAACATTCTTCTTCTGTGTGTAAGTGTGCCAGTGTGCCAGTGCTAGGGCTTGAACTCAGAGTATGGGTGCTGTCCCTGAATTTTTCTTGCTCATCATGGTTAGCACTCTACCACTTGAGCCAAAACTCCATTTCTAGCTTTCGTTTAGGGGGTTAATTGGAGATCAGAATCTCACAAATTTTCCTGCCCAGGCTAGATTCAGACTGAGATCCTCTGATCTCAGTCTCCTGAGTAGCTAAGATAACAGGCATGAGCCACTGGCTGTGGGCATTACTACTTCTATTTGTTCTTTCTTTTTTTCTTTTTGGCTTAAACTGGGATTTGAACACAGTACCTTACACTTTTGCTCATTGGCTGCTGCTCTACCAACTGAGCCACTACTCCAACCCCAACATTCTCCTTCTGAACTTTGCTTTTTTAGGGAAGTCACTCCTTATCATTCCATAAAGAGCTTGTTTGCTTGCTTGCTTTTTTTATGATACTGGAATTGGAACTCAAGGACTCACACTTTCAAAACATGTATATTATAAACATTTTTGGCATGTATCTCCCTTCTCCAATCTCTGCATTCTTGACAATACTCCTTTTGGTCTCATGAAGTTTTTGTCTGTATGTGTGCTGGTAGTGGGGCTTGACTCACAGCCTTGAGCACTTGCTTGGCTTTTTCAGTTTACACTTGTTGCTTAACCACTTTAGGCACACTTCCACTTCTGTCTCATTGTTGCTGCTTAATTGGAGAAAAGATACTCTGGCCTTTCTGCCTAGGCTAACTTCAAACCATTTTCCTCAAATCTCAGCCTCTCTCCTAAGTAGCTAGGGTTACAGGTGTGAGCAATATGTCTTTGTATTGACCATTGCTTTATCTCCTTTGGGTAAATATGTTGAAGTAAAATGGCTGGGTCTTACGGTAGGTATATGTTATGTATTATATAACTTTAGGAAAAACTACCAGAGGCTATGGATGTTGATTAGTGTTAGAGTGCTTGCTTATTAGTATACGTGAGGCTCTGGGTTCCAGCCCAGCACCAAATAAATATCCCTACCAAAATATTGCTGGTGGCTCATGCCTGTAATCTTAGCTACTCAGGAGTTTGAGATCTGAGGATCACGGTTCAAAGCCAGCCCAGGCAGGAAAGTCCGTGACTCTTATCTCCAGTTAACCACCAGAAAACCAGAAGTGGCACTGTGGCTTAAGTGGTAGAGCACTGGCTTTGAGCTGAAGGGCTCAGGGACAGTGCCCATGCCCAGAGTTCAAGCCCTACAACTGACAAAAAATTATGCTGGAAGTGAAGCTATGGCTTCACAGTATCTGAATTCAAGCCCTAGGACTGCACACACAAAAATGGTATGCTGTGTTATATTTCTATCACCAGAACTGGATAATTCTGGTTCCTCAATATCTGCATCAAAATTTGGTATATTCAGGTGGTAAGTTTTAGTCATTCTAATGGATGTAAGTGATTTGTTTTCTTTAGTGTTCTAATGGAAGTTTGACCATATTGGAATCCTCTTTTGTGAAGAATCTATTATCTCTCTCTCTTTTTTTAACTGAGCTACATTCCCTATACTTGGTGATCTTTTTCTACTTCTTTTTTTGAAATTTATTCTTTTTTTATTGTAAAGGTAATGTACAGAGGGGTTATAGTTACATATGTCAGATAATGAGTACATTTCATTTTGACCAGTGTCACCCCTCCCTCATTTTTGCCCAATGTTTTTTGGTTCCAGTCCTGGGGCTTGAACTCAGGGCCTGGGCATGGTCCCTGAGCTGCTTTTGCTCAAGGCTAGCACTCTACCACTTGAGCCACAGTGCTACTTCCAGCTTTTTCTGTTTATGTAGTACTAAGGAATCGAACCCAGGGCTTCATGCATGCTAGGCAAGCACTCTACCACTAAGCCACATTTCCAGCCCTTGCCCAGTTTTCCCTCCCTCCACCCTCCCCCTCTCCCTCTCCCTTTCCCTTTTTCTTATTTTCTGCTTACTCTTTTTTTTTTTTTTTTTTTTGGTCATGGGCCTAGGTGCTCTTGAGCCTTGAGCTCATGGGCCTTGAGCTCTTCAGCTCAAGGTAAACACTCTACCACTTGAGCCACAGTGCCACTTATGGTTTTCTGAGTGGTTTCGTGGAAATAAGAGTCTCATGGACTTTTCTGCCTGGGCTGACTTTGAACCGTGATCCTCAGATCTCAGCCTCCTTAGTAAGTAGGATTATAGGCATGAGCCACCAGCGCCTGGCTCTGCTTACTTTTTATTCACTCATCTGTTCATCTGTATCTTCTCCCTCCTCCATTTTCTTTTCTTTTCCTCCAAATTTGCTTTATATAATTGGATGAATATAAATTAATGAACAGAAACTTAAGCAAGATACATGTAACAATTTAACAGAACCTGATAAATGAAATTCTTTCATTGTTTTTTCAAACTCATCTTTAAGTCTTTACATCATGGGGCTCATATGGAAATTAACATACGGACATTACAGTTGAATGCCAAATTAACTAATTATGGCATATTAAATTCTTCTATAATGCAATCATGAAGACCCTTCACACCACTTGTGTTTTGTATGTAGAAAAGTGTTAGAATCACAAATCCAACTCAAAAAAATAATAAGAAATATTTGACTTGTTATCTGGAGACTGCTTCTCCTTTCAATAATGATTTTTAGTTGTAACATCAATGAGATGAACAAATAAGTCACCTTTTGAGAACATAAGGAAAAATAAACACATGCAAAATGTATAAAACACACTACTACATCTTTACTAGGCCATCTCTACTTCTAATACTTCAGAAACTTAGAGATTTAGCATACTCTTCCTCCATTTTCTTTTACCCCCTCATTGCCTGTTTTATGCACTTCACTATCTATACATACCTCCTTTTATGCTTTCTGCTGTTGTGGTGGGTGTGGGGTTTTGGTGGTTGTGTGTGTGTGTGTGTGTGTGTGTGTGTGTGTGTGTGTGTGTGTGTGTGTGTGTTTCTAACTAGGTTTTAACTAGGCCTCATGCTATTACTTCACTGTTTTGCTCAAAGTTGGTGCTCTACCACTTGAGCCACAGCGCCACTTCTGGTTTTCTGGTGGTTAATTGGAGATCAGTCTCATGGACTTTCCTGCTGGGGCTGGCTTTGAACCATGATCCTCAAATCTCAGCCTCCTGAGTAGCTAGGATTACAGGCATGAGCACTTAAAATTCAAACTGCTACTCTCTTTTCACAGCTGAGGGAACTGAGGCATAAGGATGTTATGAAGTCTGTCTTACTGGGGCACTCACAAATGTGAATCTCTATTTTTGCCTTTTCTCATATCTTTCTGTTTCCTTTTAGGGAAAGAGTATTCCAAGGGAGACAGCCGTTACATCATGTAAGTGTTTACTTCTTTTTTTTTTTCATTGTGAAGGAAAAAATCACAGTTTCATTTATTTTTATGAGACAGATTATGTGACACCTGCAGTAATTTGTGGTGAGTCAGGGAGCACTAATGGGGTGCCCTGAAGACAAAGCACACTGAGACCAATGTCCCTCCATCCTTTCTCTTAACAGTTGTGACAACTTTATCGTCTGTATGGAGACCATCACAGCTAGCATGTGGGGACCACTCAGCCTGTGGGCAGTGATTGCCTTTCTCCGCCAACAACCAGTTCGTTATGTTCTACAGCTCATGGTCTCTCTGGGTGAGAAAAAGATCATACTGGGCACTAGAGGGCTTGAAGGTGGGATCCACAGACACAGGAACATCCCTGTGGAGATTATTATCCAGGGATAAGTTTGACTGAATGCCAAAAATATCCTGAGGTTTGAGTAGAACAACCCAGCCATGCTCTGAACTTATCTATCCAGCAAGGGGCTCAAGCCTATAATTCTACTACTCAGGAGGATTAGATCTGAGGATCATGGTTCAAAGCCAGCCCAGGAAGGAAAGTACATGACTCTTATCTCCAATTAACCACCAAAAAGCCAGAATTAGAGCTGTGGCTCAAGTAGTAGAGCGATAGACAGCCTTGAGCAAAAGCATTCAGGGATCCAGGCCTTGAGTTTCAACTCCAAGACTGGCACCAAAATTTTTTTTCTTTAATTTCTGGAGCTATGAAGTGTTCCTAAATTCAGAATGTTTCCACACTATTTTTTTAAATCTCACTTTCCTGATTTCTCGGATTTTCAGCTCTGATTTCAGAGTTCTTTGAGTGTGAGATCCTGAGCTTTGAGACCTTGAAGGATACATTGAAATAGAGAATTTGGGCTAGCCCTTCCTTCTCCTCATGGGGGCTTCTCTTTCCTCTTCCCTCCCACAGGCCAGATCTATGGAGATGTTCTGTACTTCATGACGGAGTATCGAGATGAATTCCAGCATTCGGAGATGGGCCACCCAGTCTATTTCTGGTTTTATTTTGTCTTCATGAATGCCTTATGGCTGGTGATACCTGGAATCCTCTTGCTCGATTCTGTGAAGCAGCTTACTCATGCTCAGAGTATGTTGGACTCCAGAGTCACAAAAACCAAGAGGAAGTTAAACTAACGACCAGTGGACTGAACTGGAGGACTTCATGAAGACGCACTCTCCATTTACCAGAAGAATCTAAACCTGATCTCACATGTTGGAGGAACAAAGCGAACTGATCTCTCATATTCAGGCCAATAACCAAAAAAATAAGGGCTATATTGGAGGTATTGTCAGGAGCAATTGGGAAAAAGACTTTTTACAACCAGTTAATAAAAGCTCTTCAATCTAACATAGAGTGACTTTTAATTATGAATCCAAAGATGCCCTGTCATTAACCCCCACAGACCCTTTCCACCCATCACTAACTCATCCACAGATCCAAATCATCATCATAGACCTCCCAACTCTAACCTCACCAACTCCTAGCACTGACCCCATACATGCCTATTATTTTCCCCTACAGATCCCATAATTTACTACCTAGATTCCCCCTTTAAGACCATCCCATGGTTCGCACCATAGACCCTATCATTGATTCCATGGTTCACTTGTATTAGTCAGCTTGGGCTGCCATAACAAAAAGCCTAAGCCTAAGCCAGCGCTGGTGGCTTACGCCTGTAATCCTAGCTACTCAGGAGGCTGAGATCTGAGGATCATGGTTCAAAGCCAGCCCGGGCAGGAAAGTCTGTGAGACTCTTATCTCCAATAAACCACTAGAAAACTGGAAGTGGCGCCATGGCTCAAGCAGTAGAGCGCTCACCTTGAGCTGAAGAGCTGAGGGACAGCACCCAAGCCCAGAGTTCAAGCCCCATGACCTACCAAAAAAAAAAAAGCCTGAGACTGATTGGCTTAAGCCACAGAAAGAAAGGTTCTCAGAAGCTATTCAAGGTATTAACCAGTTTGGTTTTTTTCTTTTTTCTTTTTTTTTTTTCTTTATCTTTTTGCTAGTCCTGGGGCTAGAACTCAGGTGTCTCATGGGTATTCCTTCCTGAGCTGGCTTTGAACCATAACCCTCAGATCTGAGAAGACAGTATTAAAGGCATGTGTTTGGTTTCTTTGAGGCCTGTTTTTTGGCTTTTAGGTAACTTCTTTTTCAGTGTTCTCACATGGTCTTTGCTCTGTACACTTCATTTATAGTATGTTTGTATCCAAATTTCTTCTCAGAATACCAGTTAACCAAGTACTGACAGCTTGCACCTATAATCCTAGCTATTCAAGAGATCCTGAGGATCATGGAGTTTTCAAAACAAATTTGTGGAGGAAACAAAATAGTCCATAACATTCTGCCATCTGGTCTCCCCAAATTCATATCCTTTTTTGTGTGCCAGTCCTGGGGCTTGAACTCAGGGCCTGGGAGCTGTCCCTGAGTTTTGCTCAAGGATAATTCCCCTTCTAGCTTTTTGGTGATTAATTGGAGCTTAGAGTCTCACAGACTTTCCTGCCTGGGCTACTTTGAACCCCAATTTTTATATCTCAACCTCCAGAGTAATAAGGAATTTAGGCATAAGTCACTGGTGCTCACTACATAACCTTCTTGCATGAATATTTTATTTACTCTCATACCAGCAGCCCAAACTCTATTCATTGCCAAATTTTTCTTTACTTTTTTCTAGTGTTGGTATTTGAACTTAGGTATTATGCTTGCTAGGCAGGTGCTATACTGCTGAGCACTGATTTTTTTCAAAAGTTTTTTATTGTTATTATAAAGGAGATGTACAGAGGGGTTACAGTTATATAAGTCAGGTAATGAGTGCAATTTCTTTTTAAACAATGTCACCCCTTCCCTCATTCTCTCCCAGTTTTTCCCTCCCATCCCCACACACAAGTTGTAAAGTTCATTTTCAACATACTGTCTAGTGAATATCACTGCTGTATTTGCTTACCCTTTGTCCCTCCATTTCTGTACTCCCCATTGCCCTCTCAAAAATAGATAAATGAACAAACAAGACAAAAGGAAAAAACAAAAACAGCAATGACCCATAACATTTATCATAAGCCATTCTTTTCATCTATGCCTATCTTATCTGATAAGGTTTGGAGACAGCACATGATGAAGAATTTTGTCTAGAGGTGTCAAAATCAGGACATAAACTCTACAACCACTATAGTGACCCTTGTCTATAACTCAGCTGCATGACCTCCTGTCTAAACCCTGGGGCAAATTTATGATCAATGTCCTGGTTATATTTAGGTCCTCAGTCAGGGGACTTTTTTTTTCTTTTTTTTAATTTTTTTTTTTGGGGGTCCGGTCGTGGGGCCTGAATTCTGGGCCTGGGTGCTGTCCCTCAGCTCTTCAGCTCAAGGCTAGCGCTCTACCACTTGAGCCACAGCGCCACTTCCGGCTTTTTTCTTTTTGCTTATGTGGTGCTGAGGAATCGAACCCAGGGCCTCAGGCATGCAAGGCAAGCGCTCTACCACTGAGCCACCTTCCCAGCCATTTTTTAAAATATTTTTTATTGTGATTAAATAATTACATAAATTTCACAAATTTCACAGTATTGTGATAGTGATAGTTAAAGTCACAAACACACTCTAACCTTCATGAGGCAAATGGTCATGATCATGATCTATAAAGTTTGTGAATTCTATGAGCTTTGACAATACAACTACTTCTTCCACATGGGATGGTATGTACATTTCTTTCCTTTTGCTTAGTGTTAGCCGTCCCCTCTTTCCCTCATTCCCATCCTCCCATCGCTGCTCTTGAGTTGCTTAGTTTGTTTTCATCAATGTCCAGTGCAGCTGATGGGCCACTCTGTTGTATGTTTCTTTCTGTTTCCCTCTGATTCTGTGTCCTCCTCCTAGCTTCCCTTAGATGTGCATATATATATATGTATATATATCTATACACACACACATATATACATGTATCATATATGTGGTCAACACATGGGGTCATTTAGTAATAAAACAACAAGATGAGTGGAGGTCCTTTGTTTCTCAAGTCCTGCTTACTTTGTCATATCTCTTTGCATTTTGAATTTAACATCCACATATCAGAGAGACCATTTGCTATTTGTGTCTGCTCTTGGCTTACCTCACTCAAAATTATTTTTTCTAGTTCCATCCATTTCCCTACAAATGCCATTATTTTGTCCTTTTTTTTTTTTGTCGGTCATGGGCCTCGAACTCTGGGCTTGGGCACTGTCCCTGCGCTCTTCAGCTCAAGGTGAGCATTCTACCACTTGAGCCACAGCACCACTTCTGGTTTTCTAGTGGTTTATTGGAGAAAAGAGTCTCATGGACTTTCGTGCCCAGGCTGGCTTTGAACTGCGATCCTCAGATCTCAGCCTCCTGAGTAGCTAGGATTACAGGCGTGAACCACTGGCACCCGATTTTTTTTTTGTCCTTTCTACTGGCTGAATAATATTCCATTGAGTAAGTTGCCAAAATTTTTGGATCCATTCATCTGTAGTAGGGCAGCAGGTTGTTTCATAACTTGGCTATTGTGAACATGGAGGTGCATGTGTCCTCGTATCCTGGTTACTGTTGCTGAGCACTAATATGTAAGATGGGGTTTTGCTTCTGGCTCAGACATGGACCTAAACTGCAGTTTGCCTATTCTGAGCTTCACCTTATAGCTGACATGCCAGGTATGTGTCATCCCAACTACTTTCTCTTGAAATAGAATCAGACTTTTCTACTTGGACTGGTCTGAAACCAGTGTCTGTTTCCCACACAGTTGTGATGAGAGCCATTTTCCAGCCCACCCAGCTATTGGTTCAGAGGGAGTTTCAAGTGTGTATATCTGGGCTGACCTTGAACGTATGACCCTCCTGATCTTAGCCTCTCAAGTAGCTAGAATTACAGGTGTAGGCTATTGATACATACAGGTACAGATATTTTTTCAGTGCCCAGGGGATTAAACCCAGGGCATTGTACAAGCACTTATTACTAAACCACCTCTCCCAACCTCCACATAAACTTCATATCCAACTCTCAACTAAATATGTAAATCAAATTAGGAAACTTGGAATATGACACATCTTCATTTTGAGTCAAATTGCTCTTTAGCTGGGAGCCTGCAAAACCATATCACTTTTCTGCTTACAAAATGCAGTAGTGATAGACAGATGTAAAATAGATAGCCCCCTCCCAAAAAAGATAGATAGTCCCATCCCAAAGTGGAGAAATTGGAAAGAAAGGGGATCACAGGTCCCAAGTTAAATCCCAAAATAAACAAGCTAACACCATTTAATGTTTTTTTTGTGCCAATACTGGGGTTGAACTCAGGGCCAGTACACTCTACTTAGCTTTTTTGTTGAAGGCTGGTCTACTTGACCCACAGCTTCACTTCCAGTGTTTTGCTATATAATTGGAGATAGGGTCTCACGGACTTTTCTGCCTGGACTGGCTTTGAACCATGATCCTCAGATCTCAGTTTCCTGAGATCTCTCTATCTGTATATATCTAGTAGCCAGCAACAATTTATGTTAAGGCCTGAAAAGAGTTCTCTTTGGATGGATACTGTGTCTTCTGAGGTTACTAGGGTACACATCCTATTTCTGTGTCCAGCTTGTGAAACCATGTTGCTCTACTCAGTGGTTCTTAGAATACTTTCTTGAGCCAGGCCCTGGTAGCTCATGCCTGTAATCTTAGCTAATCTGGAGGCTAAGATCTGAGGATCACAGTTCAAAGACAGCCCAGCAGGAAAGTGTGAGACTCTTATCTCCAATTAACCACCAGAAAATCATAAATGTTGCTGTGGCTCAAGTAGTAGAGCTCTTGCCTTGAGCTGAAGAGCTCAGGGACAGCGCCCAAGCCCAGAGTTAAACCCCATGACGGGACACCCCCACCCCCACCCCCGCCCCAATAAAGAATACTTTTTCGGTCATTGCTTTTTCGGTGGTGCTGAGGAATCAAACCCAGGGCCTCTGGCATACAAGGCAAGCTCTCTATCATTGAGCCACCTTCCCAGCCCCAGAGATTTTTTTTTTTTTAATTGAGACATTGTTTTTGCTCAGACTAGCTTTGAACTCAGTCTGGGCTTACAGGCTTATGCCAACCATGCCTCGTTTGAGCTGTGAATTATCTAAATCCTTTTTTTTTTCCTGTCTGCCTGACATTTGCTCTGTCAATTATTCATCCAACACTTGTATTTTTGTATAAACAAGCTACATCTTCAATACTATTATTTTTAGAAATCTCAGCTGGTGGCACACCAGTGACTCAAACCTGTGATCCTAGCTACTGAGGCTGAGATCTGAAAATCCCAGTTTGAAGCCAGACAGGCAGGAAAATCTGGAAAGATTCTTTTTTTTTTTTTTTTTTTTGGTCGATCGTGGGGCT